CTGTGAAGTAAGGAAGAAAAAGAAGCAGAGTGAACTTGAAGAAACGACTGCTAAAGGTAGTATACTTGTCATCCAACTTTTGAACATTCAAGGGCTAACCAGAGCTAAGCTAAGCAGATAGAAATTATAGACATGGTCAGTCAAAAGGCAACCCTGTTGTGTTTGACAGAGACTCAACTTAGGCATGACAAGCTTATATGGCCAGATGGCATAGAAAAGATCGAAAAAATGAGAAATCAGCAAGACAAAAAAGGGGATGGTCTACTAATGATATACAGGAAAGACTCCTGGTTTGAGGTAGAGAAGATGGAGATAAAAAATGTGGATATCCTGTACGGGAAGATTAAGGCAAACAGCCTCAAGATTCACCTGATTCTGGTGTACTTTTCAATTATAAAAACAATGGATGACAAGATACGCAACCAATAAATGAAAAAAGGAAATCGAAGGAATTCTGGAAGGAGTCCAGGAAAAAAGTGAAGCAGCCATCGTACTTGGAGACTTCAATGGACATATTGACCTCTTGGGATATCAGAAAGAAGATGAAAATGGACGCATCATACTGAATTGGATTGATAACCTTAACATGACCCTATTAAACCTGGACAGAGCATGTCAAGGTATGTTTACATGGTCGAGACAAGATCAAAAAAGTGTTATCGACTATGTCCTTTCAAACAAAGAATGCTATAGATATTTTCAAGGGATGCATGTGGATGAGGGAAAGGAAATAACTGATGTATCCGACCATAATGTGGTTACAACTACTTTAATGCTACCACATGTTGACAACAACTTCAAAAAGGATAAAGTAATAAGAGAGAGAGCTACATGAAAACGGACCAAAAGTCCATGCAGAAATTCGGAGAAGAGATGAATAGATGGCTGAGGACAACAGAAGTCCAAAAATTTGAAGTGCTTAACAGCATGATGAAAGAGGTAGCAGAGACTCTACTTGTAGCTGTCTACAAAAGGAGATTGAGTAGACAATATTCAAGGAAAGAGCCACCATGGATTACGGAAGCTATCAGAGAAGCAATAAAGAAAAGAAAGGACCTGAACCGCATGAAAAGAAATGCAATAGATGATGCTGAAAAAGCCACCCTTGAACAAAAGTACAAAGAGCAAAAACAGAAGACACAGCGCCTGATTAAAGAAGCAATAACAGTGACAGAAAAAAGATAACAAATGAAATTCGAAGCAGTGAAAACAAAAGTAAATCGCTATGGGAAAATATAGACAAACTCAGGAAGAAAGAGCGTACCAAAGAAGAAGTACATACGTCTATGTATATGACGAAAATGCCAAAATCCTCGACCACCTTGAGAAGAAAGAAAAACTTATCAGCTACTGGACCAGCATATACCAGCAGCATAATAACGATATTGACGAGCATTGGAATGAAGAAGAAAGACGAAGTTATCTATGTGAACATATGTGAACATAGGCATCTATGTGAACATATGGACATGGCCATGTACATCAACAATGCCACGTTGAACCAATGGAAGATCCTCAGCCTGATGGAGCGCAGGTGAGGGTTATAATAAATAAAACGAAAACAAAAACCACTCCTGGACCAGACGGGCTGAAGAACGCCTTAAAACAAAGGCCTTAAAGTGCTAACAACATGTATGCAAAACGAACTGACATCTGACACGAAGCCGGATTCATGGAAAGGATCACATACAAAGATGATACCTAAAACAAGCAAACCAACAGCACGGCAACTACGACCAATAGCACTGACCAACGCATCATATAAGATATATATGAGCATGATCAAAAACGAAATCGAAGAACATCTACTGGTGAACGGAGCCTTAATGGAAACTCAAGCAGGCTTTACTGCTGGAGGACGTGTTGAGGACAATCTCTTTCTTCTAAGCTACTGCGTCGAACAAACTTATAAAAGAAAGAGACCGCTATATGTGACCGCCATTGATTTTGAAAAAAGCCTTTGATTCAGTCAAGAGAGGCCCAATGATCAAAGTCATGCAAAGATATAAGATCCATCCCGATATCATCTCATCGCACAGTGGGGATTTTTCCGATCTAGCGCCTATTAATTCAAAAAATATTTTTTGGATTTTTGTTTATTTTTTGTGTCAGTAGGGCTAAGAAATGTCTGAATTTTTCATATATGGCATTGTTTTATCTGTATGTCCACAGCAAAACTAGGAAAAATGCGCCCAAAGTTCACACTCATGCGTGATTACTCAATGGGCTCAGCAAGGCCCGAAAGTATAGCTCAATTTCATTGTCCTGTCCTGTTGGTTTTAATCTTGCGAGGTCTTAAAGTTGCATATCGTCTGAAAGGCACCTTTATTAGGAATGGAATGGCAAACAGAAATTATGCCACAACCTTACTAAGGTCACAAAAATGCCCTTTACAAAAAACCCTTACAGACACCATATTGAAGGAATGGTATTCTAAATAAATGTAGGAAATCAACAATGTTCTCCACACTTTTCCACTCCGAAATATATCCTATCGAATTCGCCACTTTCTTCTGCACAAGACAACGCCTAGTTTGGCTGCCGAAACTTGCCTGAACACGGAATATTCACATTAGAGTATCTTAACACCCCACTCGAGGAGCGCTAGGGCAAACAGCACGATATAGGTATGTTCCGGACACAGTGGCGGATCCAAGGGGGGGTCACATGGGTCATGCCCCTCCCCTTGAGGCCCGGGGGCCCAAAGACCTGCTAGGGGCACCACCGGCCTATCAGGGGTATCACAGTCCTGACAGGGGCACCACAGGACCGCCAGGGGCACCACCGGCCTAGCAGGGACACCACGGGCCTGGTGCCCCTGGGCCCTGACAGGACTGTAACGCCCCTGACAAGCCTGAAGTGTCCCCGGCAGGCACGTGGTACCCCTGACAGGCCTGAGGCGCCCCTGCAAGGCCGGTGGTGCCCCTGACAGGCCTGTGGTGTCCATGGCAGGCCTGTGGTGCCCTTGCTAGGCCTCTGGTGCCCCTGACAGGCTTGTAATGCCCCTGGAAGGACTGTGGTGCCCCTGGGCCCTGACAAGCCTTAGGTGCCCCTGACAGGCCAGTGGTGCCCTTGCTAGGCCTGTGGTGCCCCTGGCAGGCCTCTGGTGCCCCTGACAGGCTTGCGGTGCCCTTGGAAGGACTGTGGTGTCCCTGGGCCCTGACAAGCCTGAGGTGCCCCTGACAGGCCCGTGGTGCCCTTGTTAGGCCTGTGGTGCCCCTGGCAGGCCTCTGGTGCCCTTGCTAGGCCGCTGGTGCCCCTGGCAGGCCTCTGGTGCCCTTGCTAGGCCGCTGGTGCCCCTGGCAGGCCTCTGGTGCCCTTGCTAGGCCGCTGGTACCCCTGCGCCCGGAGAGGAGTGGTGCCCCTGAAAAGTCTGAAGTGCCCCTCGGCAGGCCCGTGGTGCCCCTGACAGGCCCAATGTGCCTCTGCGAGGCCGGTGGTGCCCCTGGCAGACCTCTGGTGCCCCTGGCAGGTCTGTGGCGCCCCTGGCAGACCTGTGTTGACTGGTGTCCCTGCTAGGTCGCTGGTGCCCCTCACAGACCTGTGGTGCCCCTGGGCCTTGACAAGCCTGAGATGCCTGGCTATGACAGGCTCGTGGTGCCCCTGATAGACCAGTGGTGCCCTTGCTAGGCCTGTAGTGCCCCTGGCAGGCCTCTGGTGCCCCTGCTACCCCTGCGCCCGGCAGACTTGTAAACGACTCAAAATGTTTTTGAGTCGATTCTTTGTTTGAGCCTGGAAATTTGAATCGATTCAGCATACGACTCATGATGTTAAATTTAATTGATTCGAATCAACTCATGACTCATCAAGTTCCTCGATAAAATGATTCGAATCAACTCATGACTCGAGCAACTAGCCAAGGGAATGATTCGAATCAACTCATGACTCACACATTTTGATGAATCGATTCAAATCAACTCATGACTCACACGACATTTTTATTGAACTTATTTCATTCAACCCATGACTCACTATAGGCATTTGTTGATTATGTGACTCAAAGCTATGATAAAATGAATATGCCGCATACCACCATTGTATTAAGCAGCATAGTAGCCTTGACCAAAGATTCAAGCAGCTACCTACCTACCTAGTAGGACTAGGTAAATAGGTACCTACCTTACACCTACCGATCTTCAACACTCAACAGTCAACAGTGCAATGTCAGATAAATTTGTAAGTAACTCTGAGAGACAATTATAATATAAGTAAGGACTAAGGAGTAGCATAGTAACCTATCTCCTATTATTACCTAGAAAGTCTTATTTGAAAATTCAAAAGCACAAGTTCCGAGGGGCATTCATGTTTTTTTTAAATCAAACTTTTTCTACATGGTAATGAGACAAATGTTACTACTTCTTACTTATCAGATAAAATTATTCAAACAGTACAACCTCAAAAATAGGATTAATCCCACCTGTGAAATATCCAGCATCAGCAGGGACTCCATGGGCCACTAGGAGGCCATGACCTTGCATGAGTGGCTCAGGCCTCAGAATCAGATATGATCTTGAGTTGAGACTCATTGAAAGTAGTTAATGTTGATGTAGGTATACAATATACATTCTCCAAACGGCACCTCGATAGGCGTTATCACAAGTGTATTCGCGGCCATTGGGGCTACGTAAGAAAAGAAAAAACCAACTGGCCCCAAGAACTTTAAATTATCAGTTAGCATGCACCTTTTCCTTGATGTGTAGAGAATTTACCATTATTTGTTACAGAAAATTGCATTTTAATTCTTCCATTTATGCTTTTTTCATCGTTTGCACAATATGTTCTTTTACAGGGTGTCCCGAAATTGATGTCCTCTCCCGTTCGTTACGTTTCCCGCGAGCAATACCGGTATCCCAATGGCGCTTTACCGGGACCCGACCCTGGGGCACGGTCACGTGTTTGTTGGTCACGTGACCTAGCCAGGCGAGCCGACCCAGGACCCGGCGGGGCGGCAGAGGTCATTTACCAAGAGGGTCACGAGGCGCGCGGACTGCATATCAGCCATGGCGAAGGAGTACCCTTTGTCGACTCGCTATCGCGCTGTCGGCATGGTCAACGGCGGCACGCCCCAGGTACAGGTAGCCAAAGAGCTAAGGATAGAGCCCAGGACCCTCAGACGCTGGATGGCCCTCGACCGCAAGGGAGAGGCACTGGAGAACCGCGCGGGAAGAGGGAGGAAGACAGCGATGAGCCGGGTGGCCAAAATCGTGGTGGCGAAATCCGTTACGAAACGGCACCAGTCGACACGGAAACTGGCGCGGAAACTCAGTGCAAAAAATCATCCGGCCTCCAAGTCCGCTGTCCATCGGTATCTGCGGCAGTGCCTCCGTCTGAAGCCGCTGAAACCGCGCGTGGAGCCCAAGCTGCACGGCAGCACAGCGACGAAAACGGCTGGACTTCGCTAAAAGTCGGATCAACTGGTCTATACAGGACTGGAGGCGAATCCTGTTCAGCGACGAGTCTCCTTTTGAGCTGTTTCATCCTCCCAACCGCCAGAACGACCGTGTTTGGGCTCAGAACAGCTCAGAAGTGCCTGTCATCGAGACCGTCAAGCAGCCGGGCAAGGTCCTGGTGTGGGGCATGATGAGTTTCCGTGGCCTGTCAGACCTTCACATCGTGCCCCGCGGCCAAACCGTGACAGCGGACTACTACGTGGAGGAGGTGATGAAGGGAACGGCGGCATCAGCGATGAGACGACGGAAGGAGAATGGACCACCAACGGCCATCAAACTTCTGCCGGACATGTCACAGGCCATTTTCCAACAGGACGGTGCCCCGGCTCACAACGCCACCAAGACCCAGGAGTGGTGCCGGGCCAACTTCCCTGGCTTCTGGGCCAAAGGAGAATGGCCAGGTAACAGCCCGGACCTGTCGCCAATCGAGAACCTGTGGGCAATCGTCCAGGACAGGATGGACAAGATGGCACCAGCGTCGTCCGAAACTGCCCTCATCAGGAACCTCCGATCGGCCTGGAGCAGCATCTCTGGAGAAACTCTCGACAACCTGATGTGTGGCATGCCGGAGCGCATGCGGGCATGTGTGCGGAAGCGTGGTGGATACATCAACAAATAAATCATGGACCGGTCATTTTTTGTTTTGATGTTATTGCACGCAATGGGAGAGGACATCAATTTCGGGACACCCTGTACTAAGCTAGAAACACTAATTAGAAATAGTTCCCGCATCATCAAGAACAATAGGGAAGGCTTGAAGTGAATAAAATAAATTAAACGGTTTTGTTATCTATGCGAAGGCACTTTTAAAATTGCCTGTAGAAATATTGAAGGCAAAAGTTCAACTTTTTCACAAGACGGATGTCTATAAACCTATTTAACTTGTGACAACTCAGCCGGTATTTCGTCGCCTACAGCCCAGCTTTCCCTAGTGACCGGTAGAGGCGCTGCTATCGATGTCCGCCCGTGCCGCCTAACGTAGTTTAGCAGTGCCAACTGGCTGCCAGCTAGATAGAGCCCATCCGTCACTTACCATTTATGTTGGCTCAACGTGGAGATTAAAATGAAGGAATATAAAAAAATATTATTAGTCTACAATTTTAGATTAAAAATGACGTCATTGAATATTAATCGATATCAGGAGCACCGGGGCACTGACCAAGTGGCTCTTTTGGTAAAAATAAATTGCCATTGGTGCAATTCGGGCAACGTCATCCGGCCAAGTTGTCACGAGATTCAGACGTGAAAGTTATTAACTGCGCCATTAATGTAGTTTTCTTAAAACATACTATGACTTTCACATTCTATTCTCGAATTCATGACGTCACTCATAGTACATATTTAAGGCGAATGGAGATCGCTGAGGAAATATTTCAAAGCCGCTCCTTTACATTATTCTGAAGATTCTATGATGTCATAAGACAAGTTTCTTTTTAAACTTCTATTTCATGGAAAATGTGCATTTTGTGGTTTATTGGCAGTTGAGCATCGCAATTTTGCGGTTTATAGGTGAGTTTATTTATATTATAGCACAGCCTATAGGTAGTTTATAGGCTATAGGTAGTTTGGGCGTATTTGACTCTATAGACGCCCAAACTCTTATGCTGTTGATTGATTATTGGGACCAAATTGGGACTGGGAGAAGGGGAGGCAGCCGCAGGTGTCAATTCTGACTTCTGACATGTAAAATGTAGGTACCTAGGTAGCATGGGTGTAGGAGCGCCAAAAATATTGGTGAAGGATGTCACCTGAACCTTCGGAGAAGGTGCAGGACCTTACCGCAGTGGAGGAGGGGGGGGGGTGGGGGGGGGGGGGGAATTTCGCCAACTCCTCCTGTTTTTTTTTCTCGCAAATGTCTCACGCCATTATCATATAATTAACGCCAACTTTTCAGTACATGCCTAAAATTGAATTTTTAGGTATCCAAGCATACCTTTGGATACCTACCAAAGGTATCCACTATCCAAGCATACCTTTGGAACCTGAAGGTATGCTCCACTGCTCTTTTTTCGTGACCAAAGTCTTACAACCCTTACAACTTTCCCACGCATGGGCGCGGGAACCGGGGGGCAGTGGGGGCAGCTTGCCCCCCCCCCCAACTCTAGGGCCGTGGGGGCGGTGCCCCCACAACTTTGGGACGGAATACCGCACTTTTTTTGCAAATGTTTTTTTTTTTGTTGTTGAAAAAGCCAAGGGATGAAAAATGAGTGGCCTAAAACCGGCGAGAAAACTAAATTTGAGGGTACCCTAGGTTGATCTCTATCATGGTGTGCCCCCCCCCCAGTCTGAAAGTAGTTCCCGCGCCCCTGTTCCCACGAGTAAAAACAAGCCAATATATTTTGATATTCACGGCATTTACTGAGACACATTTACACTTTTACCAACTTCAATACAGTTTTCGGCTTTACCTATCATTACGGAGCGAGCGAAGCGAGCGTAGTCTTTCCTTAGATTAAAGGTAGTGTGCCAGCTTTCCTGGACCGTATGGAGTTAATGACCCAGATAAGGAGAACCGGATTTTTAGAACTTATCCATACCTTCAAAACTCATGGAAACGTCTTAAATTCTTCAAATTTTGAGTACCCCAGTGCGAAATTCGCCCCGACGGGTTGTCGGTCGTACCCCAACCACATTTCACACCACTATGAACAATAAATGCACACACTGAAATCGCTATTACCGATATGCTTATCCAATCAAGTTTCGATAAACCCGTTCATCATCAGCTCCTGCGGTTTCGAACACGCCTGTTAGGTGGTGCGGTAGACCGCGCCCAAAGCCAGGGCCCCGGTAACGTGAGGTAGCCGAGTCAGGGCAGCGTGCGCTGACCCAACCCGGAGCCGCGCGTCCTCCCGGTGTCATGTGATAGCCCGGGGCTGCCCGCGGGGATGCGGTAGACCGCGCCCAAAGCTGCGGCCCCGGCTTGGGTCAGCGCACGCTGCCCCGACTCGGCTACCTCACGTTACCGGGGCCCTGGCTTTGGGCGCGGCTTCTGCTCATACTTTGTGGTGCGGTGGTGGTGCGTCGGGCTGCGCGCTCTGACTTCGGCCAAGAAAAATGCGTCAGCTGATCATTGTCATTTCTGCCACTTGCGTGTGGTGAAATGGGGTCATAACTTATGAGACGGCTTTTTCATATCAATTATTTTACATAAAATCATATTTCAAACCATAAATAATGTTCGACAGCCAAATAAAAGAAACAATACCAATACAGGCTTACAGTTTAAGGCTCGACATTGTGTTGTCTACGATTAAACAGCTGATAACTCATTCCCGTACGTCGTATGGTCGTCACACTATAATGACCTTTGCTTATTGTCACATGTGCGCCGCATTCGCGATTGTCGCCGACGCCTGTTTGCAGGTGAGCCCACTACAGTTGTTATACATATCTAAAAACCGATAAACTTTTAGGCGCAAAAGGCACTATTCCAGGCCCATTTTTTATTTTTCTTGCGATATTAGGTAAAAACAGAAGCTTCTTATCCTAGGAAAAATAAAATGGGAAATCTTTCAAAGGTGGCACACTACCTTTAACGGAAATTTCTGAGTATGAGCGGCCGGCCGACCGGCCGGCCGGCCGTGGTCACGATTCTGCGACGCTTATATCTCAGCAACCACTTGACCGATTTACACGCGGTAATTTTTGTAGGGTAGCTTCATTCCTTCTACCAAGTATTGGACTATTCCCGATGCATGTGGGTGACCCCTTATGCACGTGCCACGTGCAAAACGAAGAGGTGTCACTTTTGTAATTGTTGCAATATCTCGGTAACTACTTGGCCGATTGCGCTGAAAGTTGGCATGTAGGTAGGCACCCACTAGGCAATGCATATCCATGTGCCAGAGTTGGGGTGCTGCTGCGCGTGCGCACGTGCAGGGGTCGATTCCAGATCTCGAGAATGGCTGGACCGATGGCGCTCAAATTTGGTACACAGTTAGGGACCGGTTAGTAGGGTGCCGTGCAAAAGTCAGTTCGGACCCATTTTGCACGTGCGCACGTGCAGGGTGCCGCTTCCAGATCTCGAGAACGACTGGGCCGATTGTGCTCAAATTTGGCACATCGCTAGAGACCGGTTAGTAGGGTGCCGTGCACAAGTCAGCTGGAGGTACCCCGTCGAAATTTCGCACGTGCAAAGCTCACCCTCTCGCTCGCTCCGTTAGTCGCCCCAAAAGGCGTTATACTGGTTTGTTAAATGGCGTGAATTGTGAAGAAGGTGGGCATAACACTTCATAACTGAAAGGATGGGGTAATTGGGTACCTGTTGCCGTTTTAGCCTTTTTGTTCATCCCATTCGGCATTGCTTTTCTTTTTTTAACATTAGATCGACCGTCGAACCCAGTCGTTCTAGCATTGGTGAAGACCCTCACCTGCATTGCTCAAGATTGGTGAAGGATCCTTCACCAATCTAAAACTTTGGTGAAAGGTATCCTTCACCAAAGAGATACGTTGCTACACCTATGCTAGGTAGTGTAGCAGGTACTTGGTTTGGTAAGACTAAGTACCTACCAACTGCCAAATGCTTTTGGCTCATTAGGCGCCTGTGCCTGAGCCTCTGAGGCTCTTGTAAGTCTGAAATATGGAGTTAAGTGATGGCTAAAGCTGAGGGGGTGATCTAGCATTGATTATTAGGGTGTTGATGGTGACTTGTAAACGACTCAAATTTTTTTTGAGTCGATTCTTTGTTTGAGTCTGAAAATTTGAATCGATTCATCAAATGACTCATGATGCTAAATTTAATCGATTCGAATCAACTCATGACTCATCAAGTTCCTCGATGAAGTGATTCGAATCAACTCACGACTCATCGAAAAACGGTTTGATTCTGAGTCGATTCACGAATCAACTCAGAGTCGTTTACAAGTCTGGCGCCCGGATAGGACTATGGTGCCCCTGAAAAGCCTGAAGTGCCTCTCGACAGGCCCGTGGTGCCCCTGGGCCCTGACAGGCCCAAGTTACCCCTGCGAGGTCGGTGGTGCTCCTGACAGGCCTCTGGTGCCCCTGGCAGGTCTGTGGTGCCCCTGGCAGGCCTGTGTTGACTGGTGCCCCTGCTAGGCCGCTGGTGCCCCTCACAGGCCTGCGGTGCCCCTGGAAGGACTTGGTGCCCCTGCCCCTAGGGGTGCTCATGGGCCCAACAGGCCCGTTGTGCCCCTGACAGGCCTGTCGTGTATACTTGCTAGACCTGTGGTGCCCCTGCTTCCTGGCAGGCCTGTGGTGCCCCTGGCGGGCCTGTGGCGCCCCTACAAGGCCGTAGGTGCCCCTGACAGGTTTTTGGTGTCCCTGGCAAGGGCTCCGCCACGGACTTTTGGTTGGGGGGGACGGTCTGCTCTTCGCCCATCGCCCTAGTGTCTCCTCTAAACCTAGGGTACCCCCAAATCCAGTTTTCTCATCGGATTTAGGCCACTTGTTTTTCGTCATAGCCCTGATACGATGATTTTTTAACTAGAAAAATAAAAAAAAAATAGAGAAATGGTAGGCCACCTGACCCATGCAATATTACCCAATATTAGATTGTAGTCATTCATGGGTGTAGAGGCGCCAAAAATATTGGTGAAGGATGTCACCTGAACCTTCGGAGAAGGTGCAGGACCTTACCGCAGTGGAGGAGGGGGGGGG